TTGGCATGAGCTCACCACAGTCACAGTAGGAATTGTGCTGGAAGGGAAATGATTCCCAGATGTGCCAGGAAACACACAGGATGGAGCCTCTCACTTGAGAGGAGCATGTACTCACTGAAACACAGCACAGGGGCTGCCCCACCATGGTCCAGTGCAGGTGATGGACACCTCCTGTCCACCCACCTCTCAGCTGGGGTGTCAGAGCTGGCAGGGTTTGACCTGCAGCTCCCAATAAAGCCATGTGTGAGGAGGCTCCACAGCAGCTCTGCCACACAGCCCTGCTCATGCTGTCACCAGAAATTAAGCTCCAAGTTGTGTTTTGGGATGGTATTTCCACACTGGGACTTGGGGTGCGCTGTGAAAAGGAACTGATGTACAAAAAAGCAGGTGAGCAGCAATGGACATCAGGTGCTGACACACTTCCCTCATGCTCTGCATCACTGCCCTGTGACTACCACGTACCTTCAGGCACTTGCTTTAGAGAAAGCCTAGTCCCTGTCCTCTACCCAGCACAGAAATTCTGCAGTCTGAGCACAAATCCCAACCAGGCATGTGCCAATTCAACCTGTAGTGAAACCAGTCCTGTATCTGATGTCCCTTCCCTCCACCCAGGCAGGCATGTGCCAGAACAGCTCCCTCAGCTCTGGGATGGCCCTGTAGCAACACCTGATGGGTGAAGATCCAACACTGAGGCACATTTAGTGGTAACGCCGGGAATGCTCAACAGCTTCAGCCAGCACTGACAGCCTCAGCTCACACCAAACTGTCCAGGACCATATGCCAGAGCCAGCCCAGCTCCTCAATCACATGGTGTTACTGCTCCCTGCCAACACTGAGGACACATGAGCAGCCACATGAGTGAGGCTCTGTTCACAGGGGACAGCCACACCTCAGGTCACCACACCGCTTTGCTTCCTTTGAAGCTGTAATCAAAGATCTCAAGCCAGAAAGGACCTGCCAGGATCAAGCCCAACTCCCTGTTCCATGCAGTAGTATAGTTTGGGTGGGAAGAGACCTTTAAAGTACCTCTACTCCATCCCTCTGCCAAGGGCAGGGGACACCTTCTACCAGAGCAGGTTGCTCAGAGGTCACTCACACCATCAGCTACAGAGTGTATGATTTTTTGCCAAATACCACCTCTGCCACTTCACTGCTTGGGCCCAAACTTCCAGGTCTGGTCTCCAGTCTGGCACACAGTCATCTCCCACCTGCACTGCTTTAGTGGCACTCCAAGGCAAACACTGCCCTCAGGCTTGGGTCATACATCCAAGACAACTCATTTCCTGCTCCTCACACCCCACCTGGGAACCACCATGGCAAGAGGAGCCTGTGCCTCACAAATCAGTCCCTCAAGTTGACCGTGTACAACCAAATCAGGTACCTGGAAAAGTAGATCAGGTGCCAAAGAAAGGGTTTTTTTAAAGAAAAACACCTGGTTTATCTTTCATCTGTTTCTGCATGTTGATCTTCTACTTCATCATAGACAAGAACACACTTGCTCTGCAAGTCTCCAGATCAACTGTTACCTCAAGTCTTACTCCAAGAGATAAACAAAACCATTAGTAGGGCAATGACCAGACCTTTGTGACTCCAACCTGAAAATCTCCCAGTAAAGGACCTGAGAGTCTCCCAGTGAGGGATAATTTTCCCTCCCCAAACAACCTACCTTTCCAGCAAGAATATTCCATTTGGCTTTCCTATAGCAGCACCAACCTCACAAACCATGCCCTGGGGACACTTGGCACTGCCCAACCCCCA